AAGCTTTACAGTATATCACTGAAGAAGACAACATTAGGTATTACCAAAGATCCCAAACGTTTACAGCTCCAATTGTCGCTAAAAAAACAAATACTCACATGTTTAACAATTCACCTAATGTTCTTTCTAACAATCAGCAATATAATCGTTCACCAACAGGTTTTAACAATCAGAATAATTTTCATCAACACCAATTTAAACCACTACCTTATTTTTCAAATCAGATGACGAATCAATTTCCACGTGGCCCAATAAACATCCAAAAATATCCAAACCAACAACAGCAAAAAATCGTAACAAATTCACATGTGTTCGGAAAACCACAAAACGTCTGGAAACCTAATCCAAACGCCCAGAGACCTTTGTCTAAACCAACACCTATGAGTGGAGTAAGTTCACGGCCCTTCCAAATGCATAATACAGAGCTTTTCGAGAACACACTTTCTTGTTCCTACCCTGCTCAAGAGTTTAATCAGTTCGATCAAGATTTTGATAATTATTGTTGCTAAGAACAATATCCGTATTCTCAAGCAACAGTACCTGAAGAGGAATATCACGATACCTCTGAAGAACGTATTGACGAGCAGACAAATTTTCATTCAGGCCCCGATCAAATCGGTCCGGGTTAGTGGAATCCTATACTCTATCAGCTCAAGATCTATAATCTATCATCAAGATCTTTTATAAATCCGCATATCGCATCCAAATATTTTACGACCCATTCGAAGTTTCTTCAATTTATCAAACATCTCGACATAATTATTACGATTCTCTAAAATTTAATCTGTTTAAATTTCATGATTCCTATGATATATAGGTTTAGATGTCATAAAACTATTAAATATCCAATTAAATTTTAAAAATGCTAAACTTTATACTCCTTACTGTGTACTGCCTATTAAATATCAAAAATCTGTCCCAAAAATTATCTTTAAATTAAAATTAGAACCACACACTCGTATTGTAACTAAAGTTAGAGAGAGAAGAAGTTACAGTACCCCAAAAAACTATTCAAAATTGTGAAATACCCGAAACACTTACTGTTGTTCAGAATGGCTTTGCTTCCGTAGAAATATCTGATAAAACTGGGAAAGAAATTAATTTACTTTTAATTAACCTTATTGAAACCATTGCATTTAATAACACCGATTTCGAATTATATCACATAGACGTTAACCTATCAAACGCTAAACAGGATCTAAATATGGAAGAATTAATTCGCACTTCTCACATGAATTCTGAAGAAAAACACCATATATTAAAATTATGCAAAAAATATTCTGATATCTTTCATACCGATAACCAACCCTTAACGTTCACCAACCAAATCAAGCACTGTATAAAAACCAAAGACGAAATTCCGGTTTACACAAAATCCTATACAGTATGTCCCCGGATCGAGTTACAAAGAGGAAAAAAATTTTTGTTACTGATTTTTCAAACTTATCTCAGCATAAATAATGCGTCGGGATATGTTCAAACTACTAAATCGCATGAATTTTATACTCTAACTATAAAAGTTAACTAATTATTGCAATTTTTATGTAAAAATTGGACTTTTTTCTAAATTCAAAATTTTTCAAGTTCAATTTATGATATGTAATCATAGAAACCATAAAAGTTACAACTTATGTTGGTGAGATTAAGTCTTTTCATGCGATGTTAACCGTGAAAGAGATATATAACTTTTGTTTTTGAAGTTAGAAGTTTTATTTTTAAAAACTCTTCAAAAATTAAGTTATTTTTATTTTAGAATTAATCAAAGTTCAAACTAACACTATAACGACGTCGAGCGAAATGAATTAATTATTAAGATTTTCGTGGCCTTTTATACTATTTTCAGAAGATTTATGCTGAATAAGGGCTTTTTATGGAAGTTTCTGGGGATTCTAGGATGATTCATAGTTCTTCTTAGATATGGTGACATATAACTCCTCCCTCTCTAAATTGGACATTCTCCTGGATGTCTTCTTTTCTTGTTGTTTTATAATGTAGATATCTTCTGTGTAGATACTTATAAATGACGCATATTATAACAATTACAATCATTATTATTGTCACGTAAATTAATACATTATTTTTGTTTGCGTTTAAATTTAAATATATATTATACATATGGTATATTATTTTGTATTATACCGGTAATATTTTTTAACATTATTTGAGGATGTTTTTCAATTTTAATATTTTCAAATTTTATTTTGGTTACAAAATTTCTTAAATTTTTGTTAATTTTAAAATAATTTTGTATTACGGTTCCGTTAATGTTATACTGACACTTATTATTGTTTACAATTTGATATGTACCTTTTAATTTTAGGATTCTAGTTAATTTTCCACATGTTTCTTTAATTTCTACATTTTCTTTTAAAAATTAAAAAAAAAAAATTCTTTTAAAATTAGAATTGTTATATCTGGATGTTCTAGTATATTAATAGATTTGATATTTATTTCATATAGTTTGCAATATTTTATACTACCATGTGTCACAATTCACAATTTTCTTTATTGTATCGATTAATTTGATTGAAACATAAGAATTCGTTTTGTTTTAAACTTTGACATGGTTCGTTCATTAAAATGTACGTATCGTTATTAACGGCTATAAATCGTAATTCTGGTTCGATTTGAACATATGTCTATCATTTGATAATATTGATACTCATTATTATCAATTATAGGTACCTGAATGATAAAAACGTAAACGTTTCGTTTTTGGTATGCTTTTACGTTTAACATACTTTCAATTAAATACTCATTTTCAATTAATACTTCAAAAGGAAATTTATGATTATCTTCGAAATTAATATTTTTCATTTCTTCAATTAATTTTTCTGGCGGTATTAATAGTGAATGTNATATATTGTTCCCGGAATGACAGACACCCGACGATTCCTAGAATTAAGATTACTATTATTTTTATATGCTTAGTTAGATTTTTCTTTGTTTGTTTCAATTTACGTTTGTTCATTTTTTAATTCAGTCTGTACGAAATTATTGTAGTTAAAACAACAAGAAACAAAAACTTTTTAAAAACGGTATCCGAATCTTATTGTTTATAATTCGCGCCATCTATCACCATCAGATATTTTAATTTTTAAAAATATAACAGCGCCATCTATCATGCATCAGGTAAATTTAAATTTTAACAATATAACAGCGCCATCTATCGCCCGATGGTTAGCAATTTCCGGTCCAACTTAAAAATATGACAGCGTCATCTATCGATCTAGCGATCATCAGGTAAATTTTAAGCTGCGCCATTTATCAATCATCAGGTAAACCACCCTTTTTTAGTTTCACTATACACCACCAGATGGCGCCGCGTGAATTTTGAATTTCAAATTTCCCGACAAATTTCAAATTTCTCGCGCTATGACGTTACTTCCGGCGCATGCGCAGAAGCCGGGGATTCACTTCCGCTCCAGAACTCTCATCAATATACTATTGGAAACAATAAAATAATTAAAATTTAAACTTAATTAAAGAAAATAAAGAGTTCAAAAACTTAGTGGAAGGGGAAAATGATTAAGGAACAAGACATCTATGGGCAAGGACTAAATTACGCCACTCCTGTAGACCTATAACAGAAATCTTAATCGCAAATTTTAAGAAGGTAACAAAAAAGACATTAAGCAAAAATCAATACTGTTCGATAAAGAAATTATAGAGGAAGGGTTCTAAGGGAAAAATAAACCGTTACACCCTTCAGTATGGTTCCTCTTCGTGGAAATAATCATCTAGCGGTACGGTGAAGTTCTTCAACAACTATTTTCTTTGCGTTCGATGCTAACATTCTTATACTTATGGATTAAATATGGTATTGTTCTCCAATATATTAATGCGATGTCGAACGACAAACCGTTCAAAGCCTTTACGACGAAGAACCGGGGAATAACCTCCTTTTCCAGGTTCGTCAAGTTGCCCGTTTTTTTAGTGGCGGGCGCCTCTTGAATGGTTCTCGTGAGATTTTACATTCTTTTGGGTTCACCAGCGCTTCGTGTAGAAAGGAACGAGTTGAGAACGGTTGGGAGCGAGTATACCATCGGTTAAAGAAACCTACCCCAGTTCCCCGGGGCCCAACCCTCATTTTTTTATCGATTCCGGAAATCACAGACCAATCGAACATTCGTTCGGGGCAATGCGGATTCTGACAAAATACTACACATTACTGTTGATGCTAGGAGTCGTCTTTTCATTGATTTTGGTCACTCCAAGTTTGGCATCAATCTGAAGATTAAATTGTTTTACATCAAGATTATTTAAGCATAAATTAAACTATTTGAGCACTAAAAAATAAGTTTTGCGTTTACCAATTCCAGATGACAGATCCTAGTAGATCAAATGGCTTATATCCTTCGGACGCAGGAACTCCTTCATCGATGCCGGCAATATTGACACACACACATACATACACTTCCCTTTCATACGGCATATAGGCTTCGCCCTTTGCCGCCATTTTCTCCTTCCTTTCACTCGACCCACTTTGCCCCCGATCCAGATCATTGATCTTTCACGGGGTTACCATCCCTAACCGCGTGGAGGTGGGGTCATCCTACTATCTCGTACATAGACACTTTCCCCCCCCCCTCATTCATCATCATACAACCCGCAACCCCCCTAGTGTCCACTGTGTCTTTACGACCTCTCGTGGACCATGCCGGACCATTGCCGGTTTCACAACGGCCCGACACTTCATCAGGGGGGTGCTTATACTCCTGCCGCAAGTGGTCGTCGTACCTTTACGGTCTCTCACGGCCCATCCCGCTTTCAAGTCTTTCCACTTGTTGGCGGGACTTTAGCGGAATCGCAACGGCCGTGCGTCCTCACGCCTCTCGCCGTACATTCACCTTATCGTATATCCTTCCCCACACTAAACATGAAATCAAATTATATATTTCCATTTGTATTTCCGCCACTTTATAATTTATTAATCTTTTCTGTTTCAGATGCCGCCCAAGGACAGCACCATCCACATCGTACGTAGCAGCCCAGTACCGGACTGTACGCTCTAATTATAGGCGACAATAACAGCGGAGGTGCTGGTTTCAAAAATTAGTAATAAAAAAAAACAAGATGATTGTAAAATAAAATATAATTCTTTAATTAAAAAAATTAAATAAAACAAATGAAAATTGATTACCTTTAAATACCCTCTGAAGCGGCGTAGCGATGCGGTAGAGAATTAAGCGGTGAATTTTGGCGGATGCGAAGCAGCAATGCATTAAGCGGATGCGTAGTATTCGATGCGGGTTAACAAAGCGGAGTCGTAATACTTAATAATATTAAAGCGGTGTGCGTTAAGGGTGCGCATGCGGACCAAGCGGGTGAAACTCACACTAAGCGGGGGCGAATGTCACACATGCGCACTAAAAATATAACATTCGCACATTCACTTAGATAGTTTAATTTATTCAGTTTAGTTATTCCATTCGGTTCAACGTAATTGACACCTTATTTAGTATGAAAATAAAAGCTTATGTTTGGCTTGAACGATGTATTTTTTCTTTATTCATTAAATTGGGCACGACTGGCATACAAAACAAAATCAGTTCGTTTTTGTTTTTCGTTCAATAATTTGTATCTTGTGTATTTGAGTTGATCACCCAAATTTAATATTCATTCCACATCGTTTCGACTTAATTCTTTTTTAAATATCATGTTTTTCAATATATTTTTTGGCTTAACCTATTCATATATCTAAGAAAAATAACTTTGAGGCTATACAAGGCGTGAATGACTTGGAGGTAATACGTAGATAATAATTATATTTATTTATTGAGAATTATATGAATTTTACATTACCCGAATGGACAAAAGAAGTTTTTCCTGATAAAATGAAACCATTATCCGATTTTAGTTTTGCTCTACCATGCTATAAAAGGGAATTAGCCCGATTTAAAACAGGACCATTTTTTTATGATTTATTAAAATATTTTAGCAAGGTTAAGCATAGAAAAAATGTTACCGATGATTACATCAAATTAAAAATATTTTCCGGGCACGATACAACCTTAGCTAATTTATTAGAATCATTAGGAATATTTGAATATCATTCGCCACCATTTAGAAGCACCCTCATTTTCGAATTGTACCAAAATAAATCTTCCGATTCAGATTTAAATCACTTTGTTAAAATTTTTTACAAAAATACGACTTCCGAACCTAACAAAATGGTTCTAAAAGGATGTGATTTCGATTGTGATTTTGAAATTTTCCAAAAATTATTGGAGCCTTTATCGATGTCTTTGTACGAATGGGACCGGGAATGCAAAGTTAGTTTATTTTCGACAGTTACCGAAAATAGAGAAAATTTAGTGATCGCTACCAGTTTACTAATAATCGTGATTTGTTTTGTCGCTGTTTTAATCAAATTTATTTATATTAAAAATAAGAAGGATCGGACGATTTATTTGAGGATACCAGATGATGAAGAACAAGTTTAAAATTAAACTTGGAAATTGATGAGAATGTTTGTTAGAAATGTAAAGTTAGAAAATGTTTTAATTAATTGATAAATGAGTTATTAAGTTACAAATGAGAAAGGTTATGTGATATTTTTAATTTTTAAATATATCTTGTACTTATTTGTATTAGAATATATATAAATATATATAAAGAAACACTTCTTTAACTTTATTCTTTCTTCATATGGGTTAAAATAATAAAGTTTGAAAGAATAATTTTTGACACTTAATTTTTTTTTTTTAGATTCAACACTGCGACATCTTTATAGAGGTTCCCGATGCCATTGCAGACTCGAAGAAGATTACATAAAGTGCCAAGTAAGTCTTTATTCAAATTAATTAAAAGAAGTTTAATTAATTAAATTAAAACAAAAATTTGCAAAACTCATTAATAGATGTCAGCACATTAATAGGCTAACTTCACTCCATAGACAACTAAAATTATGAACTGTC